CTAAATCCTCCTTTGGTGTGAGTGTGTGTATGAATGGTTGTTTGTCTCTAAGTTGCCCTGTGATGGACTGGCAACATGTCCAGGGTGTACCTCTCGCCCATAGACAGCTGGAGATAGGCACCTTTTTTCTGCTTACAAAAAAGTAACAAAGTAACTTTTATTTAAAGTTTTGCCATGGTCATTTTTACTTGTATTTGAGTAACATTTTGCACTGCTATCCTTCCTTGTATTTAAGTGAAATAATTGATTAACTTTTACTTGATTGTACTGTACTGCACAGGAGTGATCCGGTGCTCTAACATGCCCAGTGTCCCATGGATTACAGGGCTTACCGTATTTTCCAGCAGATAATGACTCAAACCATCACACCACTTCCACCTGTACTGCATCCCAGAGCTACATGTTCCTGAGGTTAACAGCATACACACCACTCCCCACATACATCAACAGGCCTCAGACACCCATGAACCGGGTCTGCAGGCTTCAGAGAGGTGCAACAATGATAACTAATCTTTGTGATTCCCCTGCAAGCAGTCATAACGTAATGCCTATCTGCTGTGTGCAGTTTAAGGTAAAGTCAGGGCTCTCCAAAGGGTGGCAACTGGACTCAGCTTGGCTTCTCTCATAAATGAAGCACAATGAAAAGTTCTCACTGAAATGATCTGAGAGCATTAAAGACGTTTCCTGAAACTGATGTCTCAGTATTATTATGTGCATAAGAGATTAACTCCCTCCTCCCTCTGCTACACAGAATAATTGAGGACCCCTCTATTTCTACCTGTCTTTATATGACACTTTGCTATGTATTTATAGCTCCTTTATAATTACAGTTAAAGGTGTGGAAAAAGTTTAGAAATCTTTTTAGCTTTACTGGCAGTACACTGGAAAAACGATCTAGAGTTAACTAAACATTTCTTAAATCAAGTGTATTTTCCCTTAATTTGAGTAGGTAAACAAGGTAGTTTGCCAATGGAATGAGTATTTTTACTCATAAAATAAGATAATTAGATAATATGCACATGAAAAAGACAATGCAATTGTCTTTTCTTATTTTAAATGTAAATTGTCTTGTTCCATTGGCAAAATGTCTCTTTTACTTCCTCAATCCTAGAATAAATGCACCTACAGTGTACACCCAAAATCTCTCAAACAGTAATTTTTAAGTTTTTAATTTTACTTATTTCTATTTTGTTTGAGGAGGCAAGAATAATCTCGGTTGACCATCTTGCCTGTTTTTTTCACAGTTACAGCTGTTTAACCTTTCTTAGGGATTTCCCTAACTATAGGTATGACTAGTTTACCTCGGGGGATTTTTCTTGACCTGATCTCATGTTCTCTTGTTTTACAAATGCTTGGAAAAATTGACTCATAGCAGATTATATTTACTCTACAGAAAGAAAAATATTTCTCTACCCTGAATAAATGAACATAAAGTAAATGCAATTTATATATTTTTTCAGATGATGGAAACGAGAACTTTAACATCTCTTTAAATTAGGTGCCTACCAGCTGAATATCTTTTAATCATATTAAAAAATTCAATATGAATATTTTATTTAAATGTGGCTCCCACGGAAAACATTTAATCAATCTGTATCATTTGACTGAACTCAGTAACGTGCCTTGAAATAAAATGCTGTCAATTTGGTGCCTTATAAATAAAACTATGTCCATTCTGTTTAAAAAAAAAAAGAAATTAAACATATAGACTAAAACGCAAGCAGCTGTGTAAAACAACCTGATTGTCTTTAAAACACATAGAAATCTCTTAATTAACATACATTATGTGTTATATTCATTGTATTTTTAATGTATAGGTAATTATTTATTAGTTTAACCTAAAAGTGTCAACTGTGGTGGTAAAACATGCTCATTTTAGCTGGTTCTTTGTTATATGATTAGAAAAGTCGAGAAGCGGAGAAAGGATAAGAATAAACTTGAGTTCTTGTCTCAATCCTTTTCTTATTAGAGTTTTCATTACAGTACTTTCTGACAAATGACATCAAAAAAGTAATTTTGTAGAAGTTAAATTAGATCATTTATTTGTATCAAATTTGATACAAAGGACATTTCTCTATAATCTTTAAAAGTTTTCTGTTCACTATATGCATCTTATTGTGTAACTCAGGGTTTTTAAGAATAAAAGTGTAACACTGACGATGTAGAAGTCTTAAAAACGCATGTATCAAATACAATACAATTGCCTTCAAAGGGTTAAAGTACATTTTTAAGGATCTGCATGTCATCACTCATAGAAAGTGAAACTGATATATAGATAAAGTGCACCGATTTACATAATTCAAGCCTATATTTCTTATTATTATGAATCGCTTACTAATTAATACAGAAATAAAAGTCTCAGAAAATTTTAAATTTTAATAATTTTTGCGGTTTCACATCCTTTTTTCTTTATTTGTCTTACCTTTATGCCACTCGTGTGCAACACGTTGACTTGTCATGGTACTGAAATGAACTATATAAACAAACTTGGCCTATATCATCTAATGCATTTAAAGCATCTATCTGCAAATCCTACCTGATCCCCTGAATAGTGTCTCAGTCTGGGTCAGTGGGCTATGCACTCAGGGGTAAGAACCAGAGATGATAGAAACTTCTTACCTCTGCTAAATAGAAAAATAAGTACAGCTCAGTGAACTAAAGTCCTTATTTCAGAAAAAAAGTATTATTCATTTTAAAGCATTAAATGCAAACTATGGGATATCATTGTGTTCACGCCATAGTCAATACAGCCTTCTACTGAGACATTTTAAAGCACTTTCCAGCTGCTGACAAACTTTATGGAGGATTATTCATTGATAAAAAAAATAAAGAAATAAAAAAAAAAAAACTAAGGAAAAGGAACTAAACACTGCTTCAATTAACCTGTTTTTACTGTACATAAGTATATATGGGCTGCTGTCAAGAAATGGGATATCAGACCAACAAAGCAGAGCAGTGAATACCGCCAAAGCAACCTGGGCTTCTGTTCAGACTTCAGCAGAGCCACTGACGGAGCGTCTCCTAGCCACGCTCCATCGATGCCATAATTCCTGCTAAAAGAGCCCCAACCAAGCGCTGAGAACATAGATCTGAACATTTCAGAAGCTTCTATCATTGTTTAAAATACAACTTTTATATTTATTTTGAGTTCCAACTTTCTAAGGGACTGAATTTCAGCATTTTCATTAACTGTCTAGCACAACCATCAAGAGAAGAGCAAGGTAAAATAAATCTTCACAGGTTTCTCTTTCTAAAACTGATGACACATGTAAATTAGAGGGACAATGGCAAAGGATGCAGAAGGGTTGCCGGTTTGAAAACCAGCTCTGTCTGCTTCCGTTGTTGCATCCTTGAGCAAAACACTTCCCTTGCATTGCCTAGTGATGGGGGCCAGGCACCGCACAGGTGATGCATGTGTACAACCTCTCTTCTCTTGGTGTGACCCAGGGCAGCAGTGGCTGCCTGGAGCAGTGTGTAAATATGCATCCATGAGTGGATTTATGACCCAATGTTAAAGGAGCTTTATAAGTACAGGTGATATATATATATATATATATATATATATATATATATATATATATATATATATATATTCATTTTATTTGTAGAACGCCAATTCACAGTACATGTAATCTGCAGGCATTTTACAGAGACAATTCAACCAGATCATACAGTCAGATGCACGCTTTAATGATCTCAGATGTAATTCTACTCAAATGTTTGTGGTCCATTGTGCTCCAACCTGAAAAGAAAAGTCTAACATTTTATTTTTGGTGATTTTTTTGTCTTTCAAAGCTTGTTAACCTGCATTTCTTCATGCTGATGTCCTCTAAAGAATGATCAAACTGTTCCTTTGCTGATTGCAAAGATCAAGTCTCTGGGTGATGCAAACCTTCCAAAAGCAGGATGAGAACATCATCATCCTGGGGACCAAGGAAGCGTTTCCGACATTATCCTGCTCTAAGTAATCCTGACAAATCCTAAATATTTCACAACTACTCAAAAGTTTTCATCTTGTTTACCATCTATCTTTTGGGTTTGCCTAAGCTGCATACATCTAAAATTAGTTCTATTTGGATAGATTACAGCAAAGTGTCAAAGTTAAGCAGCAGATTTTGCCATTTCAGATCATGACCAGTAAGCAACTTCAATCTGTATTTAAAGTGACAAAGAGAAAATATTTTTAATGATATTTTTTTCAAACATCACTTTTTTTTTTAACATAAATACTATAAAAAAAAAAATATATATATATATTTTTTTAAATGTTCCTCTAATAGTTGACAAAGAATATGCATTCATAGATGGAGTAGTGGAGTCCAGAATGTGAGCTGCTCCATGTAAAACTCTGCCCAAGGCCAAGCAGTTGGTTTAATTCAGAAAATGTTTGTTAACCTGAGTTCATTGTTTTACACAGAATTAATGTCTTATTCACTACAACTGATAAAATCATGTGACTGTAGATCAGCTTTTCGTTATAAAATCAAAAACAGCTTCAAATCTTTAGAAAATTAAAATGCATCCTGTCTCTAGTGAAAGAATTTGAAGCAGCCTCAATGATCTGTAATTGTTTTACTTGATATACATTTTTTTTTTTTTATGTACCTGTCATTTATTCTAATGTATCTATGTTTTTTATGTAACTTTGCTGCCTCTTGGCCAGGCCTCCCTTGAAAAAGATGTTTTTAATCTCGGTGGGATTTTTTTTCTGGTTAAATAAAGGTTAAAAAAAATGAGCAAAGTGATCTTTTTCGCTTTTTAATTTTTTTAAATTTTGGATCAATGTGATCAACATTTAGAGGGCTAGTAAGCGAAAACAGTAAGGAACATCTTTAGGGGGGGAAGAAAATCTAGAAATTAAGGTTACTTGACCATAACGCTGTAAGATCTGCTATTTTTTTCTTTTATTAAATAATGTTTCCACTAATGAGGGGTGAAAAAATTAATACGTAAGAGACAAATCAAAAATAAAACATAAAAAAAACACCAATTTGCTATTATATGTTTGTTTTTATTGGCATCAGTGGATCAGTCCAAACAGAACCAGACATGAGGATGAGCTGATTTGATCAAAAACCACTCCATGTTTTTGCATAAGACTTTGGCTGCAAAAAACAAACAAACAAATCAGACATAAAATCACTTAAAAAGTGCACAGAGCTGAATTCCATTTACTCTCCTTAAATACTGTAAAAGGTACTTGTAAACAACAATTTCCAGAAAACTGAAAGAAAAAACAATGTTTTTTAGCCATTATATTACTAAATCTTAGCCTTTCCATCTCAGAATGATAACTGAAATAAAACAATTCACAGTCCAACATAATAAACACATAACATGAGCGGGTACCCTTAAAAAAATAGTGCAACAGCAACAAAAATCACCAACTTTGTTAAAACAAAAAAACAATTCTATAAATAAAAATGAAATAAATGAAAGAACATCTGATCTGAAGCACAATTCTGGCATCTTTAGCTGCAAAATATGGAGCCCAGCAGGTATTTCAGGATTATATACGAGTACTGGAACCTATGTTCTTTAATACTGGGAAATTTACAGGACGACTTTTACAAATGAGCTCAAACTATCATTCAAAACACTGACAAACAAAAAAACCAACGATCCTCCTGATCATCTAAAGAAAGCCTGTTTATTTTGGATGAAGACAAAATTTAGAGCCAGATTATTCCCTCTAAATGCATCATGAGCATTCCCTAAACACACTTCATTGAAATATTCTAATACTTTAACACCATACTGTTATAAATGACTAATATGCGTTTTGGGCTCAGACCAGAAGTAAAACTAAAGTTCTGTCTGTCCAACTGAGGTGGGTATTGATGGCTTAGTTTTAACACTGAATGCAATCAGTGCAAACAAACATACAGTCGCATGAAAACCCTTCCAGGCTCCAAAACACGAATAAATAATACAATTTGATGGAACAATGCAACCCAAAGCAACATACCCAAAGCAGCACAATAATTCAGCAATGAACAAAAAAACACTTTAATTTCAACAGTAGCTTGTTTCATTTGAATGAGAAAAAACAAAAAAACATTAATGTTAAGGAAAACAAGCATATCTGCCATTTTGCAGCTTTTCCACCACGACTTCTTCCGCTTGCACCTGGCAGCACACCACAGCACATCCTGTCCCAAACTCATAGGATAGCAGTTTGTTTATCCTGGTAATTCTTCTCATGAATTAAGGCAAATTTTGTCAATAAATCCTTAAATCTGATGTATGATTTTTATTTAAAAAAAAGTTATTTTTAAAACTTCAATTAGCCTTCAGTCCTGCTTAGTGATGATGTTCTGATCCCCATTTAGACCAACTGACTAATGAAACAGTGAAGGAAGTCAGGTTGAAAGACAAAAACATCTAATACCCCTTTCCCACTTGCCGAAAAACCTGTTTAAAGCTGGGAACAATCGGCTTTTAGTGGCAGAGGGAACGGCTCACTGACCCGTGTCAAAAGAGGCGAGCCATGTGAAAAAATTCCTTGAAATGTCTCTGCTCTGATGAGCATACTGATGGAACATTAGACCCGGATCAACCTGCTAATTTATGTGATACCATTGAGCGCAACGTACAAACATCAACACTTGCTGGTCGTGGCTGATCTAAGAAGCCAAATCAAATCTGTTTATATCCAATAAAGATGGCACAGCTCCGGTAAAAGGGATTTGCACAGATATAAGAGTGAAACAATAGAGAACAATTATTACGCCCTGGCTTCTTCACATGTTTCTCTCCATTGTTTACTTCCCTGATGTTTTTCGCACTGGGGAAATCATCAAAGCTTATCCAGCGTGACGGCATCGAACACGCAGCGGCGAGCCAGCGAGGGGTAGGACCCAGTTTTTTTTGTCAATGGGAAGGAAACCAAATGACAATTGTTAGCAGATTGACTCATGTTTGAAAAACCCGCTTTAACCTGCTGATTTCAGTGGGAAAGAGGCTTTAAAGGACAAAATGGCAGAATGCACAGGACCCTGTGATTTTCACATTAGTGAGTTTCAAAGCTGAAATTTTTCTATGGCTCAAACTAAGCAGGAGCGGATAAATCAGTCTGGCAGCATTGTATTTTCAATTCATTGCAAACAAACAAACAAAAAACTATGTAGCAGTGGTATCAGCAGCTAATCGCCTACTAGTAAAAATAAAAACAGTCCAGTAATCCATCTCTGGAATTTGCTGTCAATCTTTAGGATTATTTTTTTCCGGCAGAAAAATTACGTTGTTCCTGCCTTTTTTAATGGAGCTCTGTGGCGTGTTCAAAATAATAGGACAAACAATTACTTTAATATTTTCCAATCACCGTGGTTTTCATTCACTAAAAATAAAACAATCAGGTGATTCAAAATTTCCCGAAATTCGGGTTTAAAACAGCACGGATTAAATAGCTGCAGTGTTTTTGTACAGATGGAAGCATTGGTGGTGGGGGGAGGGGGGGTATTAAAAGGCCATCTAGTTTGCATAGAGATACTAAAAGCTAAAGCTGCTATCAAGTCTGATAGACTATACACGAGTAAAGCACAACAGGAAGTAGAATCAACGGAGAGGAGCGGCAGCAATGAGAGGAGTTCCAGTCAATTATTGCCCTTCTTATCTTCCAGTCAGGACAGTTTGCCAAGTGACTAACTTTTAAAGTTTGATTGCATTTCAACATTGATACGAAGTGAAGAAAATTGTTTTATTTCATTTAAAATGGACGTGATAAATCAGTCAGTAGCTTTTTTGCAATCACAGCAATCATTTGCATTTATTAACATTACGTTTTTTTTTAATAAACATCATAAATAGTAGCTTTTAATAGGAAAATCAAAGCATTGACTCAATGAGTTTGATTATAACTTTTAACAATCATTTTATATACAGTACTGGTTTTGTCCTGATATTTTTTCCAAGTAACTGTACATTTGCAGCTTTTTATGTTTTCAATACAGTGAGCAATAGCTTTTCTGCCTGCCTTCTGTAATCGGTCTTCATGTAAAAACTGGTCATTAATGGGAAGTTTTAACTCGGTCACAAGTCAGAAGAAATTCTTTTAGGGTCGTCTTTGGACACAGTTTTTTGTTTTTGCTTTATTTTCAGATCAATTAGCCTTAACTTCTAAATAGAAGCTTAAAAAACAAGCCCAGAGTTGAAGCTATTAGAAGGAAACTGTACTTTCTACAACACGTCGATACACATCTGCTGTTTATTCAGGCTACGAGAGAGAGGAACACTTTCAGCAGTTAACAGGAAGGCTGAAAATATCACCATAAAATTCCTCCTTTTGTCACGCAACAATTTGTTAAAAATGTTGGAATCGTGAAGTCAAGTTAAGGATCTACATTTACCATGACATAGGCACAGACACGACTGTTTTCATTGTAAAGCTAGCTAAGCTAAACACGCTAATTGAAGGACGCTAATCGAAGAATAAATATTCTGAATGAGTAGTCCAGGTTACCTGAAAAGTGAAGCTCAGAAATTCGCCACAAAATTTGGGGGATTATAGAAAGAGAGAAAAAAAAAAAGAAGAAAATTCTGGATACTTGAGCACAAAAAACCCATTTAGGTTTCTGTAACTAGCGGTGGTGCTAAAGGCTACTTCACTGCTTTTGTGGAATCTTGCACAGCTAAATGAACCCCATTACAAAACGTTAAGTTCCTACACAAGTCAGGATCCATGAAACCTTTATTTTCTTAGTAGAAATTCATAAAAAGAAATCCCAGTGTCTAGTGTGGTTTTTAAACCAGACCCAATTAGAGAAACATGACATTTCTAAACCTTGATGTGAGAGGTTAGATAGAATAGAAATGAATGAGTTAAGCATTAGCTGTGAGCTCCTGTTCATAATTACAGAACAAAAAGAAATTTTGACAGAAAATAAATAAAAAAGTTGACAAAAACAGATCTTTTGATGTGGCAAATCAAAATTAAGTTTAATTTAAACTAGAATGTAAAGTAAAAATCTATCTTTTTCACCCTTTTCAGGACTGCTTCTGACCCGTTTGATGCAGAGTATAAAAAGGAGGAAGATTACTGCCAACCTTTATTATTCCTAAGAGCACCAGAGTATTGCTTTTAAGATAAACACGCAAACATAACTCACCCATTAACAATTTTTTTTACTTATTCAGTATACTTGAGGCTACTGTGTGCAGTGATATTCTTGGTAGGCTTATAGCACTTAAGAGCAGATATACATTAAATATTATTTTCAATCCACAATAGATTAATCATTTTTTACCCAATATTTTGCAATGAATGTATGAAATTGGTTCAAAAAGCATCTGTGTTTTCTCATGTCAGCAAAGCAGCAGGTGTTGTGCTTTGTTCCAGCTTTTCGTATGCTGAGTAATAATTTCAGCTGTAAGAAGTTACAAGCAGCAAAGCTGGTGCAGTTCGACTTTCTGCTCTTATCAGCTTTGATTTGCTGTGTTTATCCTGGATTAGAAGGTAAATGAAAGAGGGATAAGAACATTTAAAGGGGAAGAGGTGACTAAAAAGTAAGTAGGGCTTCGGCCTTTAAAGCCTTATGCAGCAGTTGGTTCTTTTCCCTTCTTTAGAGTATGACGAAGGAGGCTCAGCTCAGGTGGGAGCTCTGCAGCTACATCTGTCCCGTGGTTAAAGCTGAAGCGAGCACCAACCTGCAGATAGACAAACTAGAAACACAGGCACTTTGTCCTGGGTGGCGGCCCCTCGACAGGCCCGTCGGCTCTCCCGGCCTCTCTTAACGAGGTGGACCTCAGGTGTCTTGGTAAGGCATGTGAAAGCAGCCAGGGCTGTCATCGTCAGGCGACCAGAAGGACGACGGCCTCTTGTTGTGGAGCTCTCTGCGGACGCAGCGAGGACAAGGCTGTGCTTTCTGTCGACACTCTGCGTGGAAAACAGCGCCGCAGCCGTCACACCTGTCAGCCAGCAAAAACCGATGTTAATACTCAAACAGCAAATTTCCCTCTTCATAATGTAGCATTAAAAGATATTTGTAGACAAAATACAAAACCCTGGGATTAAATATCAGATCCCTACTACAGGAGGATTTTTCATTAACAGTTTTATTGACTATTTGCACCGAGCTGTTGCTCCGTTCTGCTCACCGGAGTCTACAGGACAGCAGATCCAGCTGTTATCTGCTCACACTTTAACACTCAGCTCAACAGCTGGGTGTGCCTGTGAATGTGTGTGTTCCACACCACGGATCAGCGTCTTCCAGGAATGGCTTCTGTTCAGCTCTTATCTCCCTGCTGTCTGCCTCTCTCTGCCTCTGGATCAGCAGGTTAACAAAGGTCTGCTAAACACCGGTCGGCATTTGGCTCTTTTTTAAATTGACAGAAAAAGATGGATCTGACCCCCCCATGGGAAACTGTATGGCCTAAATCACATATTTTATAAAACACCTGAACTGACCATTTGTTATTTTTTTCTTTTTTATGTCTTAATAAGAGCAGTGGACTTGAGGCTGCCCTGCAAGGCTTTAAACCTGGGTTTGAATGGAGACTAAGCCATTCTTAAGCACATATCAAGGTTCTCATTTCGAGCCTGGATCCATATTTATTTTTGATTATCTTCATGGTGGAGAATCCTGCTTCACAGCAGCAGGTTGAGCCAAACATACTCAAAATGTGCAGGGTCATCTTTGAGCTCACGATTTCACTTTTCTTTCACCAGTTCACCTCAGTTCTTCCAGCAGTCCACTCTTTCTCTGCTGTCTTTTTCTCATCGTCTTCTCCTTCTTTCCCATCGCCCGGCTTGCCACAGGTTTGCCTGCTGTGTCTAAAAGTGCTTAGTAGACGTGACCCAAACTGACAGCAGCTCATTGGCTAATTTATATCACATGCAGCCTTGTCCCAAATGCCCTGGAGGGCTTTACCGTATTAACAGGAGAAGCGGTGCAAGTGAAGTTAGACACTGCTGTCATACAACATGCAGCAGTCTATAAATGTTTTATACCAGGTTGGGTCCGGTTTAGCCAGCAGGTGGGTCTGGATCTGGACCTTGGTCTGCTAATCCATGACCTCTATTCTAGACTGTGTTGAAGAAAATCTCCTCTCCCTCTGATTCAGATGGGGTTACGAACAAAAAGCAGAATGAAAGCTCAAGGAGACACGTCCATATTATAACCTTACCTCAGCATTTTATATATCAAGGATTTTATTATTAATAACCAAAGAAAACAACAAATTTTAATAAATAACATTTTTCAAACATGTACCCGTGAAACAGGAAGTTTATGACACTATTCCAGTAACTGCATACTGATTGAAACTATCTGGGATCTATCAGAACGGCAGGCAGATCATCTTACATATTATCTAAATCTAATCTTAGGTTTAAGAAATATCAATCCGGTTCTTAACGGGCCGCTTCAGGCGAGTTAAGGTTTCTAGAGCTAACGTGAGGGTGTGTACCTTCGTGCGACATTCTCCTGAAAAGGGTAGATGACCTGTCCATTTTGGCAGAGCTCGCAGATGAAGCCCTTCTCCCGACACAGGCTGCAGCTTAACACATGGGAGCTGGCAAACTTGATCACCTTGGACAGGAAGGGAGCCAGTTTCCCATCAATCACCTTTAGAAGGAATAGAGAAGACAAGTGAAGACGATGCTAAGGTGGATATGTACTGCTGATAAAATGTTAGAAGTCACGCTGTGAGGCCTCATAATGATAAATCAACTCACTATATCATCATGACAACAGCCCTGGGCTTTAAGTCAACAAGTTAGGATTGAGAAAATCCTTTGAAGAACAATGGGAGAGAGAACAATGAAGTATGCTTTATGAAAATCTATGATCGCTCTTGTACAATGAGGCAGACAAAACATTCAGATAAGGAGCCTGTGAAAAGGTCTGGAGTAGCAAAACAAAAACCATATCACTAATCAGACCCAAACGATCTGCAGAGCATTTAAATCATACTCCAGGTTCCTCAAGAGAGAAGGTTTAGATTTTATGCTGGAAAAATAAACCAGGCCATCATTCATTCCACCAGAATATTCAGTTGCAACGAATCTCACTAATCTGCCACAGTAAAAGATTTTAACACTAAATTCAGCAAGCTGTATGCAACGGCAGAAAAATTTAGCTAAAAGGGTGGTACCAAAAAAAAAATAAAAAATCAGGTGTTTAGTATGTTTTAAACCAGTTTCTTTTAGAGATACATTTAAGTAATTGTTCTTCACATTGCTGATATGAAATAAAGCTGTTAGGAAAGGTACACTTTTAGAACCAAATAATATTAGACTAATGTTTTGTGTGTATAAAGTAAAAAGGCAAATTTATATTGTGCACAAAGGTAAAAATCAAACGCATGTCTAAAATGTTTTTGTCTGCCTTCTTGAATATTTATACTGATCATCAGAACATGTTCAATAATGGGAGGAGGACAGGCAAAGGTAATTACCAACTGCGATGTGATTTATTTGGGAGCAGACCAAAAATTTCAAACACGGACAGTCAGAAATGACAATAACAGAAATATACTGTATCTATCAAAGAATTATATTTTGGAGCTGTAGGACCATAATTCCCCAACCATCAACGTATACCAAAACACCACAATAAGGAGATTGTACTGGATGGAAATTGTGCCGATTTTCCGCTCAATGTTGCACAACCTATGGGGGAAAAATATATTCCAGTGCTGCGCGGTCCAAACTAGAGATAGGCTGTGATGTTTTATCTGATTTGTCAAAAAAATTCTCTTTTTGTTTGTTTAAAGTGAGACATGTGTAATATTTGTTATCGTTGGGTCATTTTTATCATGTAAATGGAGAAGCAAAAAGCAATATTGATTTGGACCAAAATATCAGACGCACATCTGGGGATTGTTTAGACCAGGGGTGGGCAATTCCAGTGTCTGAGGGCCTGTATACTGCAACTTTTAGATGTTCCTCTGGTTCAACAGACCTGAATCAAGTAATGAGATGATAGAGAGGACTCTGGAGGAACTGACTGCATACTGCGGTGATAACTCAGCCATTTGATTTAGGTGTGTTGGACCATGGATGAATCTAAATGTTGCAGGATACCGGCCCTCAGGAACTGGAATTGCCCACCCATTGTTAAGACCAAATTAACAAAATCGGTATCGCCATCGACTTATATAAGTCAATCTCTATTGCAGACAAACTTTATACAATCAAACGAAGACAGAAAAACACAACAACTACACTTCATTATTGTAGCTTGTTCATAAATAAAAGTGAAATTAGCAGCCACCAGAGCAAACAAACCATCAGGGATCCTATAACTTTAAGCAACATAAGAGGGGATTGATTTTTTATCTTCTAACATCATTATTTTGATCTCTTAAACTCTTTTGTTGTTTTGAAGTACTTTTAAATTCTTATCCTGGAAATGCATTTTACATTTTCTTTTAATATTTATCATGAATATTATTATTTTTACTATAAGTATGATTTCCTACATCACTATGGATTTGAAATACTTGAATGGCCAAAATGCTCCCCCAATCCTAATTTAAATAGGGCAGTCCATCAACGCTTTTGCACCCGGTATCGTTTCGGGGGTGATGTTGTAGATCAACCACAACATACCTATTAATTGCACGCACAAGTTTTTGTTTGCATAAGCACTGAGGTGCTCCTTTTCAAGGATATTTTTAGATAAGGGCTTTAAACAGAGAGGAAGAGCAGAAAAAGGAGATGACACTTTACAGAACGACCATCTAATTTTTGGAAACACAACAACTTCCTTTAAGGAGGAGGTAAAAGTGGGCTAGCAGTAGGGGGGAGGATTTGTATTGTTGCTTATCTTCTATGGTTGACTGAACACAGAACATAAATACTCTACGTGTTTCCAAACCTTCATCATGTCAGGTTAGAAAGGCAGATAAATTCATGAGCATAATAAAATCTGCGCATGTTCAACAGAGAAGGAGAAAGTAGCAGAAAAACAGCAGAAAAAGTAGGTGAGAGTGTTGGAGGTATAATAAACAAGAGGTCTTGAGAGAGAAGCGAGAGCCTGTATTCAGATACAAGTGGTTCCACCTGGCAGAGCTCTGGACCTCCCAATTATAACCTCCTTCATGCTGTTTTTCAGGCGATGAGAGGACAAGAGAAGGACTCGAGGTAGGTAGTGGAGGAAGAAACCACACACGCACACAGATGAAACATAAAGCACTAAGATATACTCCTCCTGTTTTGCTCTTAATCAGATAAAGCAGGACAAAGAACTAAAATGAGATCCTTCATGAGCAAACCTAACTGATATGTTCACATACAGACACTAATATGTAAACAGGTGAAACACATTTTGGTAATTTCTTAAATAGAAATGTAATTGAAGCACTTTTGCAGAAATTGTACCTTTGTTTTTTAAAGTCTCTTGGAACTTGACATTAGACTATACAGATTCTCCTGGGGTATAAATAGGATGCAATAACAGACTTTTTTAAGATTGGAAAAAAGAACGTACTATTCAAGGTAGCCTCATACGCATTCAGGAATCAGTATAGTAACTTGCGTCAAGGCTGGAAGTAAGCCAGATGAAACTGACATACTGAGGGAGGCAGAAGGAAACATGCGTCCCCCTGCACCCAAACCAAACCAAGCCAAAGTAAAGCAGGCCCGCTCAGTCCGGTCCAGCCCAGTCCACATGACAAATGGCTCCGCTGATGGAGGCTGACAGGCTCGGTAATTAAGGCCTCCTATAATTGGACTGGGCAGAGTCAAGCGAAATGCAGCAGCACTCTAGTGACTTGCTCTCTGATTGGAGGGGGACAAAGGGACACAAAGGTGGCTGGCCTGATGGAGAGTGACTAAACTAAACATGTGGAAAAGCGAAAAGGTGATAAACAGAAAACAAGCCAATCAGATCCAGCTTGCTTCATATTGATACACTCAGTTCATAAAGCCATTACCAGCCTGGTTTATCCCAATGGCCAAAACTGGCTTTCACTTCTCTTGATTGCTCAAATATCAACTACTCCAGCTGCAGTAAATAATAACTGACCGTTTTATTAGCTTCATTACAGTGAAGCTGGCCGGTTCGATCACAGCGGGATAGTAACTCAGACTATGAAGTTTAATATGAACATATCAAAAAATGTAACTAGTTCTGAGCCAACAGTAGAGCTGCCAGGGCTCAGGTTGTGATTTAAAGTTAACTACTACAGACTGTGGAGTCCCATATTTGTCATCACCATGTTATCATTTGAAAAATCTCAGATAGAGCCATCATATACCGATATGTGATCTCCAATTCTTGTAAAACTTTAATCTGCAGATGCAGACTTCAGTAGAAGCGTATCTCTCTTAAAGAAAAATTATCAAGGTCGCTAAAAGAAGATTGATTGTAAATTAAAATATAAAAGGTCTAACAGAATTCTCCCTTTTACCTTGCTGTTATCTGATGAAAGTCCTACTCTCTTCTGCTGAAGGACTGTGAGACATTGAAATGTCAGAAAAAGAAATGTTTTCTTTGTTTCTTATAGATGTTTTCTGTTTTTTAGCACCTGTGTCTGTGGGATTTTTCTGACTAACACATTTCTTTTTTTTCTATTAAAGTTTTCTTTAAAAAAACAAACAAAAACAAAATCACTTACTGATACTGAAAATAACATAACTGTTAACAACTTAAAAGGCCTAGCATGCAGTCTGAACATCCATATGCCAACTTCATTTAGCTTTCTTATTCATCAATCAGACTGACACTGAAATCTCTAGAAAACTACACCGGACTCTAACTTGTCACACAGTGTGAGCTTCGTATCAGAAAACCAACTTGTTACCTTGTAGTTGAAGATGCCACACTTGACTACTTCTCCGTCAGCATGCCTGTGTCAGACAGTTCTGACTATAATGTCCGTCTTATGATTAATTCAAACCAGGTTTTAGTTGGATTCTGAAGCAGATGGTTAAGGAACTCAAATAGAAAAGAAATGACTATAATCTGACTTATGCTGTGGCAGCAATAATCAGACAGCATTATTTTTTATGACAAATTCAGGCCCTGCTTGAAATTTCATGCAGGTTGTTCCTGAATGAGTTAAATAGAATCTGTATTAGTTTGTCTTTCTAAACAACCAGATTCAAGCTTAAAATCATAGATTTAATCCAACCTGGCAGAAAGCTGCGCAGAGAAAACCTGGCTTTACCTTTCTAAGGAACTAAACAAGGAAATTAAATTAAGTGGTTGATTGTGATTAGGTTTTAGTTCAGACAGTCTCTGAGTAGTTTGGGTTTTCAAACATTAATGAGGTCTGGATAACACCGTCTGTTCATGTCAACCGCGTTTTCTTCAGAGTAAAAAAAAAAAAAAGATATTCAGATATTTGACGATGGGATTGTATTTCTCCAGATCAGACAACACAAGCTCTGGAGTGAGGTGTCATAAGTCATGTTGAGTCTGAATGGCATCTAACGTAAACGCCATTACACCCTCTGTTACATGTTAAGCTAAACATCCAGTTAGATATCCTGGTTCTGCAGGAGGAAGATGGACATGGGATTTTTCTCAGAAAGCTGTGGACAAATAGATTTACTGACCACTTTGTCCCTTCGTCTTTTTGTACTTTTGCTCCTTTTGTTGGGGGGTGGGGGGGTGTT